ACTCCCAAGTTTTATTTTCTTCCAAAGCTCTAATCTCATCAAACATTGCCTCTCTCTAACAAGGAAAATTTATGGCTTGGTGATAGATTTTGGGTTCTATGTCTTGTGAATGGCCTAAATAAATTTTTTTTGTTTGAGATTAATATGTTTCATAAGAGATAAATTGGAAAATGTAGTGTGGTGTGCATGCATAATTGACACAAGACTTCAAACCACATAGATAGTAGTCTTTTAAATGAGATGATTGCTGTGTAGACCTTGCGAACTTTCTAAGAAGTATTTTATTCTTATTAACATGATCAATAGTATGAGATAATTATGGATCATGTGTAACAACTTCATTAGTATGTAAAGGGAAAGAACCTTAGGACACATCATTGTAAGAAGGATGAGGAACATCATTAGGTTGAGGTGATTCAGTAGAAGTACCAGTAACTGCAATATCTTGAAGCTGTAAAGATAGTTTTTAACCACTATACTCTGTCATTAAGTCATTGTTTTGGGAAAAAATAGAGAAATTATAACCATTATACATAGAGGAATTGAAGGGAAAGACATGTTCCACAAACTAAATATCTCGTGAGACAAACACCTTTCGAGATGCTAGATCATATACCCTAAACCCTTTTATGTGAGGAGGATATATGAAGAAAAGACATTTAGTTGCTCGGTAATCAAATTTAAATTTACCAGGCAAAAGATTATATGCATAACATAAGCATTTAAAATTTTTTAGATGATTATATTCTAGAATAGAAAGAAACAACAGCTCAAAGGGAGTCTTATTGTTGATGACAGAAGAAGGCAACTAGTTGATTAAATAAACTGCATGTGTAACACAGTCTGCCCAAAATTTCTTAGGTAGATTGGCTTTGAACATCATGGATTGTACCATATTTAAAATATATTTACGCTTCCGTTTCACTACACCATTTTGTTGTGGTACGTATGGACATGAACATTGATGTACAACTCTTTTAGTGGCAAGAAATTCTGCCATTTTAAATTCTAGTCCATTGTCAGTACAAATGTATTTTATCTTTATACTATGTTGAGTTTCCACATATGCAAAGAAATTAATAACCAAATTTCTTGCTTATCTTTTACTTTTCGTTAGATACAACCAAGTATAGCGACTTTTATCATCAATAATAGTGAAGAAATAATGATGGTCAGAAATGGAAAAAATAAACAAAGGACCCCAGATGTCAATATGAACTAAATCAAATGAAGCTTTAGTGATTAAAGTACTGATAGGAAATGACAATCGTTTTTGTTTTAAAAGATGACAAACATCATAATTGAAAGAATTATAAGGAAGAACAAACTCATCTATTTGACTTATTACATGTAGTCTTAGTTTGGAAAAGTGACTAAGATAAAAGTGCCACAGATTGTAGTTATTGAGAAAGACTTTACGTTGAGAGAAAATAGAACAAGCCAAAGGACTTAACTTAAAAACATTTATAGTGGGTATCTTTCTTACCTCAAGATAATACAACCCTTACCTCTCCTCTGTAAACCAATCCTCATTTGAGTGTGAATATCCTGAATGATATAAAAGGTGTTATGAAAGGTCAAATAACAGGGAGAATCCTTTAGCAATTTACTAACAAATATTAAATTTAAGGTAAAATAAGATGTATATAAAGCATTGTGAAGGACCAACATAAGTGAAAGGTGAACATCCCAATATGGGTAATTGGGACTGATTGTGAGTTAGGCAATTTTATATGCATATTTGTGACTAGTCTACACAGACTAAACATCTCAAATGAACTAACTAAATGATTTGTAACACCTGAGTCAATAATCCATTCATTTAATATAGTATGCAAAGATAAGGAAAAGTTATACCTTGTGCGCATATAGGCTGGAAGTTGGCAGTAAGTGTGTTTACTTGTGGCATAATATGTTTTGCTGTTACATTGGGAGAAACAGATCCAATAGATTACATCAGGGTCAAGAGCTTTTGATATTGGTTTAGAAAGTTTTAGTACTGGTCTTTATTGGAAGATAGAGACAAGCCTTCTAAGTTGTTACTTGAAAGATTGGAATTTTATTGGGAGTTATTGTTTTCAAAGTTACTATCAACTAGTTGTGTACTGATCTGATTAATACTTGATGTTTTCTTCGTTCGAGGCTTATAACTTAGAGGATACCCATGTTTTTTATAGCACTTATCAATAATGTGATCAACAAAACTACAATATGTATAGGTTAAAGTCTTATTATTGTTATTTTTTCCTTTACTAATTCTCTTGTTCTGCCCATTATTATTCTTATTCTACTGGTTAGAGTTTGCATAAAACAGATTTGACTTATATGGGGATCCCGAATGTCCAATGTTAAGAGTTCTCTCATACTATATCACTAAGGAAAATACCTTGCTCAATGTTGGTAAAGGTTCCATCATGAGCACTTGTCTTCCAACTACACTGTAGGACTCATTAAGCCCATTAAGAAACCTTATAATCTTGTCCTCCTCTTTATATTTTTTTTATACACATTTCCTATTCCACATATACACTGTATATTGCACTAACATGTAAGTCCAGACCGTAGATTAGCTAGTTCATCCCAAAGAACCTTAATTTGAGTAAAATATTCAGTTAATGACTGTGTACCTTCTTTAAAAGAGGAAATCTCATCCTTTTACATAACTAATTCAAACTCGGTCGCTTTGAGCAAATCTATCATCTAAGTCATTCCAAAGATCTATGACATAATCAAGAAAGATTACACTTTGAACAATTGAGAAGGACAATGATAAGATTATCTATGAAACTACAAAAGTATTACAGCTCTGCCAAGTGCAATAGGAATGATCATCCTTTGGTGGAACATAAATGCTTCCGTCCATAAATTGTAATTTATTTTTAGAAATCAATGCACTTTTCATAAACTGTGCCCAAGGATGGTAATTATTACTTGTCAGGACGGTTGATGTAAGCAGAAGCACGAGACTCTTGTTTGGATGCAGAAAGTAGGGATTTGTGAGTGCCTCATCCATTTCACTGTACCAAAAACAACTGAAGTGTCCATGATTTTCTAACGAACTAAATAGTTGGAGATTCACCGCTAGAACAACTCACTGTTAGTTGATGCGAAACCCCAAGCCCCTTACATGAACCTTAGAACTCTTCAATCGGTTTAGAACAGAATTTAGATCACAAGTAAAAAGGAATCAAATTTGTTCAATCACCCAAATAATAGAAGTTAAATAGAACCCAAGAAAGATAAATGATATCTCTTGAACCCAATCCAAACAAGCACCAAGAACAATTGAAATAGGAAATCAAAATTGAAATACAAGTAATAACAATTGTATTTCAAATCAACACCTTGTGCATAAAGTAAAAAGAAAGCCAAAACGCTCTCAACTCAATTCTTAAATATTTGATTACAACTCTTAATGTTGACAAAGAAGAGTTCTTTTGGTATTTATAGCCAAAGAAATCAATGATAAGTTACAACACAATAATTACAATTGTAACTCCCACAATAACTGGGCTAATTATGTAACAATTACAATTGTAATTCTAACAATAACTAGGCTAATTGTAGGCATGTAATTATTATGTAACTCCTTTTAACTATAATTTTCTTAACCAACACCACTAATTGTTTGTGGCACCATATAGGTATGAGCTCATTTTTGTAATAACACTGAAATAAACTTAAGCCCAAATGAGTTACACTTGACTATATGGGCTTAATTAACTCAAACTAAAATAAAACCATCTAAAATACTTAAAACAACTAACTAATCCAACCCATACATAAGGCTTAGTCACCCATTACCAATAAGACTCAAACAAGCCCAAATTATCTCAAATCATTTAAACCCAATTAAAGTTGCGAATTTGGGCTATTCAAAAAGCTCATATTTGAACTTTCCACAATTGGCCAGCCCATCATCTACATGTTTTTAAGTGAAAACTTGGAGTAACTCTTTAAGCTTATTTACCTTTGATCTTGTTACTGGTCCGCTGAAACTTTTCAAGTTTGAAACTTTATTTGTGTTTACATCATTTGAAATTTGCTCCAAGTCACGTTTTGATGCTCTTTGAGTATCTTGAGTGTTTTTCGCATTGTTTGCATTACTAGTGTAGGTTTTTTTGAATGCGAATAAACTTCATTCGCTCTGATACCATATTAGATTTAGTAAAAAATTAAAGAGCATATGAATGATCAAATGAAGAATAAATTTGATAAAAAAATTCGAGCAAAATGGATACCATTCAAGAAATTTGTGAGAGAGAAATAGAGTGTCAAAAAACTAAAATTGGGAAAAAATGTATTCTGTTTTCTTTACTTTACATGCGAGTAGTATTTATACTAGAGAACAAGTTACAAAAAATAATCCTATAGTTTTAAGTATTTATATTAATGCCATTCTATCTAATATTCTAATAAGATCGTAGAGATTAAAATATCAATGTATATTAGAAATAAAGATTTGTTATAAGTTTATAACTAATTATCAACTTGAAAAAATACTTATATTATTATCATTATAAGTTACGAAAGAATAAGAGGATATGTAATTGCAAGGGATATTGTTATATTTCGGATTTGAATTGATTGCTTCAGTTTAAAAAAGAGCGATAATGAGAGAAGTGCATCTATAAATGTCTTTGTTATGATAACAATCACTGACAATTATAGTGATATAATTTATACTAAATTGCTACATAAATAAGTATAAATTGCTACATAAATAATGTTAATAAAAATTAATTAGCCGGAGAATTTATTTAAATAAAATAAAAAGATCCAGAATCTATTTGACTAAATAAGCGAAAAAAAAAGAAAAGATGGTCTCATGGCTAAACCAGCAGTCCCGGGACAGACTACAAACTTCAGGAAACGGTTAAGGACTTATTTGAATAACCTTAGAAAATGCAGGGTCATTTAAATATATAAAACTAATAGAGGGCCAAATTGAAATTTAATGAAATTGAGGTATTTAACCCGTAGAGACACACGAATTCTTTTCCCTTCAACTTTCCTCTTCTCTTCTCTACGGTTTCGTCCTGTATCTTCTGCCTTCCGGTATCTGAATCACCATCAAACTTTTCATTTCTAGGTTTTCTCAGAAGGAGAGACGAACAGCTAAGAGGCTGACGTTGCTATGGATTGGGGAAACGTTACGGCAGAGGATCTGATTGACGCGCTACGCGAAGTGGACTGGTCATCGCCACCGCGCCCTCTCTCGGAGTTCTTCTCCAGATTCACAGTCCCCAGATCCTACGCCAAATGGAACAGCCGTCTCAAATGCAATCTTTACTAGTACGATCACCTGTCTTTTCGTTTCATGACTGATTCACTTAGGTGTTAGCTGTTGTTTCTCGTCAAATTGTTTTTCTTGAGCGGTTATGCAGGCCGTTTCATCAGTTGATTTACTCAAGTACTTTTCCCTGAAGTTTGAATCCGTTCAATTCATGATCGTATATATGTTGTTCGGTTTTCGCGGGAAGCGAAAGGAAAGAATAGAGAACAAGAACTTGGAGTTTAAAGTTTTCTTTCGTTTACTTTAATCATATAAAATTTTCACTATACATTTTCAATAGAATATGTGATCCAAAAGTAATTCAGGTTGAGAAGAGTAGGACTTGTTTAAATCAGTTACAAGCTCCGATATTAGGTTATCTCTCTTTCCGATAAAGAAACTGTATGTTCAGTCCTCGCAGATGAAAGACGAAGATGAAAAGTATAGTTTTGAAAACACAAATATCTGGTTCTTGAGCTGCTCCTCCCTTTAGAGGGAATATTATATAAAGGAAGGAAAGTTTGAAAAATTGGTTTTCTTCTTCATTTCATTTTTGAAGGTTGCGGGTAATGAGTAGACCCTTGTTACATAATTGGTTAGTTCAAGTTCGGCAAATTGGTTTTTTCTTCATTTCATCTTTGAAGGGCACGGATAATGAGTATTTTATCCTAAGTAACATAATTGGTTAACGACACTCTGATCCCACAAATCTCTTGGCAATCAGATAAGTTGTCTGGCCCTTGCAACCATTATTTTTATAATGGATACTAGCGTTCTTGGTTTTCTTTTTGTATTACTGTTATGGCTTTACTGATTAAAATGTTTGGATGTTTCCGAAGTTACTCTATGTTTTCTCAGCTATGTATCTCGTGGGAAATATGTAAAAGTAAATATAAGAATACAATTTTAAAATTTTGTTATCATGTTTTGTTTTCTCTCAAATGCATTATTAAAAGTTTTTTTAGACGTTTCATTGTCAGCTTTTAATAGTTTGTAAACTTCAATTTTGAATGGTTTTGCAGCTACCGGACTAACTACTTCATTATGATCATTTTCATTCTTGGTTAGTCAACAAAACTGCTTTAGTTTAGTTTCTTCTTTTAATGCAATTTATTGCCACAGATATATGTAACTGGGTTGTCAACTGCAGGATTGGGTTTTCTTAAAAGGCCCCTTGCTATTGTCGCTGCTTTTTTAACAGCACTGAGCATTGCTTTTCTGAATGATAGGTAAGCTTCTCTATGTAATCTAAGTAACTTTTGTTAATGGCTAAATCTAGTTACTTTCAGGACAGCGGAACCTATTACTTCTAGTAGTGGGACTGTGGATTTTTGATTTTAGACTATTTGATTTCTTGGCATAATTTAAGTTGCTGAAATAGAAATTTCTATTTACAATCTTTGTATTTAACAGACATGATTTTGCAGTAGGTTTTATGCTATTTTTTCCATTTAATTTTTTGTAGAAAAATTATATTAGGTGAATGAAGGGGAAATCAAACCTGGAGGAAGATAACTGTCCTCTGAAAGAGGAAAAAGAAGAAGTATAAAAAATCAAAGTATCAACCAAAATCGCAATCCAATTACAAGGACCCCTTGAAAAACCGTGCCCTTTAGCTCAAATAGAAGCTAAGCACACAATTTAAATCACTCAAGCTACCTTTCTGGCGTGAGTCTCAGGGCCTGAAACACGGAACAATCAACAGCTTGTACTAATTTAGTTGAAAGTGTTAGCACAAAAGCATGTTGATGGTTCCTCTGAAAAGGAAAGAAAACAGTGAAGGACATAAAAGATAGAGAGAAAAGGAGAAAAACTGGATTCTCTTTATCAAGTATGGCTGGGCAATCTCTATACAAAATATCCTTGTTCTATCTTTAGGTCATTTGAGAACAGAGGAGTTGCTGAAATTTTGAGAATTCTTCTTTTGCCTCCATTGGGGATTGTTGGTTCGTATTTCATATCACGGTCACTGTGGTTGGAGTGGATATTTTTAGTATTTTGATATTTCTCTCCTTAAATATCTCCCTTTGTACATTGGTGGAAACCCCTTGGTTCTCTTGCAATGTTAATTTGTTTCCTTTCTTCTTTGAAAAGAAAAAAATAACCACCTACAAATGCCAAGCCTAAAAACCAGATTAGGACATGGAAAAGCAGAAATAAACTTGCTGGGAGAGAGTGAAAAGAAACTGAAAAACCTTTGGTCGCATCTCATGAATGCGTGTCAATAAGAAAATAGTGCTTTGTTATTCTAAAATCAAAATTTTGCTTGGCCCTATATTCCAATAAAAAATGATATTTAATGCCTTTCTTACTCATTTGGAATGGTTTACCTTTGGTGATTTGGCTGGGGTTCTATTAAAAAAAACTTTGGCTAAGCAAGCTTTACAGTGTCAGTTTCGCCCTTGAAATTTTGAAAAAAGATAATAAGCTTTCTCATTTGTTTTTTCTTTTGGTACTGTCAGTTAGTTAGACTGTGGTTGCTAAATGTTTTTCTTTGGAACAGCTTCGCAGGTACTTTTAGTGAGAAGGTGACAAGAACTGTGAGGCAATTCTCTCCACATTTAGCAGCAAAGATGAGACCTCCTTTGACGTATGCATGCTTGCCAATTAATGTCCTTGGTCAGTATCTAATTTTGCTGCTTCATTGACTATTTTATTATTGCCAGCCCTGTCATTCGTGGACGTGCGTCAGCCAAAAGAGCAATTCACATATGTGGCCGACCTCGCTGGGTGTTTGTCTTGATGTTCTCCTCTGGTATTTTATAATTTTGCAGTGTTGCGTATGTGCTCCACGTGTACCACTTTCCTTTATGATCGAACTAATATAGTCAAATTGTCAACTGAAAATAGCAGAAAATGTGCACTGATTGATTTCCATCCCCCCTTTTCTTCCTGCAGTAAGTTTCATCCTTTGGTATGTTTCTTGTGGTGTCTTGATTCTTTCGTGGGCCCTTGCAATTGGACTTCTTGGTATGTGAACCGTTCCTGTTTTCACGTTTTTGAATTAGCAGTCTGTGTTGCTTCAACTTAACCCTTTTTCTCGTTTCTTTTATTTCTTCTCTCAGCCACCATCCTCCATGCTAGCTTGAGGACTCCTAATTTAAAAGCACGTCTGAACACATTCCGGGAGGAATTTCGAGCAGTTTGGCGCAACTATAGTGAACTATAGGGTGCACGGAGTTTCTTTGAGGTGAATGAATCTACTTTTACTTCAACATTTGATTGTGTTGCCACTATTAATAACCTATCTTTCTTTTACTTTGTAATGTGCAAAGCGTGTGAAGAATCTTCTCTCTTGTAGTTCATCCAGTCTCTTTAGAGTTGTAAGTTGTTGATCTGTTCATGAAATCAAATGACATGAGGCATAGGTCCATGATGAAAGCTTGAAAGAAAATGGTCAGAACCTCAACAAAAAATTGCCGTCACACTTTCCGTCAGGTGTAAACAGAAGAGAGTCCCTTGGGAAAATCATTTGGTGTAGAGGAGGTTTAGGCTTTACTTGACTTGTGGAAAATTACTTCTAGAAGTCATTTTACCCATTTTCCTATGTTTGTTGGGAGAGAATAAAAAGAAAATGGGAAAAAAACTATGTTTGGTTTTTGTTGACTTCAAAAAATTCCATTAAATTTGGCTTGCGTGTTTTTCTTTTTAATCTTTTGTTTTGATCTCTCTCTATGGAATATCATTTTCCTTATTTTTTTTTTCATTTTTTAGTTTCCTATTTTTCTTGTAAAACCTAAACTGCTTTTATTTGTAAATATGATGAAGAAACTATATTGATTGGATTCTTTTTGTGCTCTATGTCCACATGGTTTTTGGTGCTTTGAGCATATAGTAGTTTAATTTTGAAAAGTATTTGGATGCTTGACCTTTTTTCACTGACTTTAGTCGCTCAAAGAGGACAATTAGTTACTCTTTTAACTAAAAATAGTTAAAGTGTAGTAAATTCCAGAAATACTTGAAGATTCTTGTGAACTTTACCAACATAAAAGCCTAATTCTTTTTGTTACTGAATATTATTATTTGAGATATTTATTAGTTTTTGTAATATTGATTATGTTTATTATGAAAAAGTTGATTAAAATTATCAAATGAGGTAGTGGTTGGTTTGCAATTTTTTTAGAAGTTTTTATGAGGTACTGGTCCAAAGTAATTAGCACAGGAGCTAAAAGCTTTTGACTCAAAGCTCTTCAAAAGAAAATGCTAGTCTTGGAGCATCATATTGCATACTAATATTTGGTACCAGTCTTTATCAACTGGAACACTTTTTCTGGACATTACTAACTTGTGGCAGCTGGTTTACATCCCAACATCCAACACTCAGTAAACAAATCTATGATATATTTTCTCTGAGAAAGATATATACCTTCTTCTGATCTTGCCACCTTCATTTTTAGGAAGTATTTAAGATTTCCTAGGTCCTCATTCTTGAATTCCTTGGCCAGATTTTGTTTTTCAAATTAATCATTTCTTCTGTGAAGTCACAAGTGACAATTATATCATCCACATAGACTATTAGAATAGATAACTTATTGTGGTCTAATTTCTTTACACTCAATTTATTATTGGCTTTATATTGGGAATATCTTTGTTGTTGTACTACTCTTGTGAATCTTCCGAATCAAGCTCTTCGAGATTGCTTAAAACTACGCAACAACCTTTTTAACTTTCAAAGTTGATGTTTAATATTTGGCATTCCAAATCTAGGAGGAATCTTTGTGTACACTTCTTCAGCTAGGTCTTTGTTTAGGAATGCATTCTTCACGTCTAGCTGGCTTCAGCATGCAAGGACCAGTGCTGAGACCAGAATATAGAGCACATCACCATAAGTCTCAGGAGGGGTCATCCCTGTGGTAGGAAAGACACCCTAGTTCCTTACCTCAAATTACAGGCTAGACTCCTTACCCTGTACCCCAACCAATACAATGAAAGCCCTACCTTACCATACACAAGTACATAATATCAATCCCCCAGAATCCAAGAAAATATAGCAGTAAGTGCAAGCCTGAATGAAAAAACTAACTAGCAGAACCAGGTTACTTACCCTTTTTTAAGTCACCTGGCATATGCCCTGGCCCTGTGATCCGAAAAGGACAACAAAAATTCCAGGAGGCAGGTGCCCTGTCTGTTCTAGCTGCTGAGCTGAGAGTCTGTTTTTTGATCTGGACGGAGAGAGGAATCATTCAAATAGCTGCCTTGATTTTGAACTAGTTTTTTTGCACAGTTCTGGTGCAGAACTAACTCACTAGCATGGATGAACCCTATCAGAATGGTACCCTCTGGTGTCTCTGAGGAGCTGCTAGTCCTTCCTTCTTGACTCCTTTCGCAACAACGAAGTCAATAAAGGCTCAGCTAATGACAGGAGAACAAAAATAGTGTTTAGCTTAGCCATCGTGACAATATATCTTGGCAGTTGATATCATAAGGCTGGGTGAATCTTTTTGTCACAAGTCGCCCCTTTTACCAATTGATACTTCTATCATCCTTATTTTTAACTGTAAAGATCCACTTCACGTTACTGGATTTTTCTTGGAGACAGTTTTGTGATTTTCCATGTCTGATTCTTTCTAGAGCCCAAATCTCATCAAATACAGTTGCCTTCCAAGAAGGATTTCCAAGAGCCTTTTGAATATTGTGAGGAAGCTGCTCTGCAGCTAAACTTGGAACAAAGGCTCGAAACTTATGTGAGAGTCCTAAATAAGGGATATAATTGTGCAAAGGATGTTGAGTACATGATCTTCTTCCTCACTGTAGAGCAATGGGCAACCTCAAATCGTTTCCAAAACTTTTGGAAATTGTATTACCTTCATTTGATGAAATTCAGATTGGACTCTTGTTCAAGGTCAGGTTGTGTTTGGGATTCTCCCTCCTATGCGCAGGAATGTGTTCTCGAATATGCAAGAAGGTGATTGTGCACATTGTTTGTTGGTAACTCCTAGGTTGGAGAGGCTAAGGAGATGTTGACTCAATGTTAGAATTAATACATTGAGGTACAGGTTTGATGAGATCTGGAAAAGCGAGCTACAGCAACCATCTGATGTCGCTACTGCTATGAATTTGGCAAGGCTCTATGAAAGGGAAACTGGTGGGCAACAACAACAGACGAGCATCTAATCTACCGTTTATCAAGAAATTGATTAGGAAGGAGATGTAAGAAAGGAGGAAGAAGGATAAATCGTTTATTCCGGAACATGTGTGCAAAAGCTACTATGGGGTTTGAGAATGACAAGGCAAGGGATGAGGAAGCAAGGGATGAGAAAACATTCCACTTTGGTGCTTGCAGACTAGCTTCAATCCGAGGAGAGGAGAAATGTTAGAATACAGAAAATAATAGGGCGTGGGACCCATGAAAGCAGCGAAAGGAAGGAATTTAAGTCTAGTAGGAAGTTGGTTTCTTTGAAGAACTAATAAGAGTTATAATTATTTAAAGATATGTATTAATTATTTAGATTTAGATTTAGATTTAGATTTAGATTTAGATTTAGATTTAGATTTAGATTTAGATTTAGATTGGAAAATTAGAATGAACTTAGCATTAAGATTCTACTATAATTAGATTTAGCTTAGGACTTGGAATAAAACTAGGATTATGATTCCTAAAATTATAATACAGCTATTATCATAAATAAAATAATCAAGCTATTATTTCAAAGAGTTTCTCTTTAAAAGATTGGAGGTTCTCTTAAATGAGGCACACCATAGGTCAGTTAGGCTGGAAAAATGGGAAGCAATCAGCTGGGACTAGATCCTAAGCCCGGATCTAGGCACACCATGCTTGCTTCAGGATTTCTCACCAGCGAGCCCCGTGACTAGATCTTAAGTCCGGCACCCTATCAACGGTCATGTCTGGAAAGAAGCTAAAGTTTTGGAGAGGTGTTGTGTGAGAGTAGGCTCTTGATGTATGGTTTGCCAGGGTGCTTTCTTTGTGCTCAAACTTAGTTGAGGAGCAAGCTTTATTTAGTTTTGAATGAGGATGTTGTATGCGAGGTAAACTTGAACGATTGGGAGGAGGAAGATTGTTAAGAGCAACATGGTTCCTTACCTGCAGTTTTCCCAAAGGAGAAATAAAGTCAATAATGCTTTGTAATTGCTTATATATGTGTGTTAGTGGTAGTCTTTCTTGTAATCACTATGTAAGTGTGTTAAATTAACTGTTAAGTCCGTATTAGGTAAGAAATAAGTCTATTATAAGACAATGGATATTCAAATTCCAGAATTAATTGCTCTTCTTTGTATATATCTGGAAATTTTATGTGAATGAAAAGTATATTTTTACTCCAGAGGTGGTAGGGTTCTCTCTGTCCAGTGAGTCCTAATTATTTTTCTGAATTTATAAAGACAGGGAACGACAGAAAATTAAAGAAAAATGCAACTTGATCTATTGATTTTGTTGTGAATCATCCTGTAACACGATCCATCAGTTGGGATCATAACAAATATACTAGACTTCTTAATCTCCTTTCCCCTTTTAATATTTTGTCATCTGAAGCAGCTATTCCTATATAGGAATCAATTGCCAATTAAGTGTTTCCATAGTCTAGTCTGGATCAAAAATAGAATTGGACCATATAGTCTGGATTAGGTCCAACTGAACAGGTCTTCAGTCTGAAGTTGGAGTACTAAAAAGTTCCAATCTAGCTTGGACCAAACAGACTGAAACAAAAAAAATTGTAAATCTGCCCAGCTGAGCATCTAGCCTAGCTCAATCCACTAATCCAAACCTCAGAATGCAGAAAGATGATTTATCCAGCTGGCTAGACCAGCCACCGGTAGAGGCTTTATCCCAAGCCTAGTCTCCAACCATTTACGCAAAGTCCCTTAATCTAATTGTCACTCTTCCTCTTTTTCTTCCTTCATGGCTTCATCTATTGGTCCCAGCCAGTTGCAGCACTTCATGGTACAACAACTCTCTAATTCTAGCTCAGCTGGTCAGCCTTAGTCACAGCCCTCAGCTTCCAGCACCAGCGGCCCTCTTCCAATCTTCCTCTTAGTCGTCTTTGATGGTTGAGCTTGGGATTGTGGTTGCCTTCATCATCTTCAACATTCTTCCCCGGCTTTGTGGTCCGAGATCGTGTGGGCCACCACAAGGTCGTCAGTGAGGTTGAAACGGACAGTGATCTTTGAGTGTGTATTTTTATGGTTAAAGAACATGGGCAGTGGGTGGGTTCTAAATAATGTAAACAAAAAGCTAACAAGATGCTGAGAATAAGTTCTGAAGGGATGGAGTGGTAGGTGCTTGACCTTTTCAAAAAAATTGAGGAGAAAAAAATCTGGTAGCTAAGTGAACAAAGGGAAGGAATTAAAAGAAGCTGAATAGCATAGAACTCAAGAGGCTTGAGTGGTCAGTCAATAATGGGAAGACAAAAACAGAAGAGTTGGCGAAAGAGGAGAGTGTCTCTTAGGGATAAAACCTAGACATTATGCCTAGATTTTCTTATATGTTACATCTAGGAAGTCTTAAGTATTACATTTAGAGTTTAGTTGCATCATATAACCAGAAATTGAGAAATTATCGAGGTATTTTATTAAATAACTGAAAATTGAGAAATTCTCAGAGCATTATTGGATGAATAACGTCTATCAGTAACCAGAGAATTATGTTTGTGCACCATTAATGACTAGCTTTGTGCAACTCTTTTGCAAAATCAACATTTAGTTTTAACTGTGAAAGCTTTCTGTGATTTATTCCAATCAAATGAATTCCATAAAATCTGTTTTCGTTTGTTAGTGACATCATTTCTGGATTCATTTTTGCTGCCTCATTTTTTTTTTAATTTTCTAATTTCTATCCTATAGATGTTTAGATCAGTGTTCCAACAGGATATTAGATAAAATAGCTTTCCATCTCAGTTTGAAAATTTGTTTTTTGATATTGGGTGTCATGGCTAATCATTATGGTGCATCATGGTATTGGGTATCATGGCGTATCATTATGGTGCATAAAGTCAGTAATTTATTCTATTTACCATGATGACTGACCGGGTTTCAAGTAGCTAGCATGTTGGGTATATATCTGGAGTTTAATCCTCCACCTCCTAGCTAAAGCCCGACAAATGAGGATTAGTATTTCCCTTGTTAAATTGTTGGACAAGTCATTTATCAACTGCTTCAAGCATATGTCGAACAGGAGGTCTCCATGTGTTTGCTTATATTGAGGATTATGTAAGACATGCTAAATAGACAATTATGTTATCATTTGTTGTTCTTACTTTTTTCTTTTCTGAACTGTAATTCATTTTATCAATTCTGATTGGCAATTTTTGTCTGTGCAGGGATTGTTTTGTTGATTATGAATCTCGTACAGCTTGTTACTTAAAGATCTTGCATAGAATAATTCATGTGGCTGGCCAGAATTTGCAGGCAAGGTCTGGCAACCCTTGCATATTGCTAACAGCATGTAAATCTTCAAGACCTCTTGTTTCTGCAAAGTTATCTCCTTATGTGCTTTGTATTGTAAGAATCAGAAAATCTTCTAGGAGGATTGTTAACCCCACCTTCATTGCAAAAAAACCTATCGAATCTCCCTTCTCTTCTGCTGATAAAGAAAGAAAAACTTGGCAGACTATATGTTGTAGCTGAAACAAATGTTTAGATTTACGAGTTACTAATACCATGTGATCATGTCGATATATTTCAGTCTATTGCTATTTGAAGTAAGGTCTATATTCCTCTTGTTCCCGAAAACGGAAAAAAAGATAAAGATGAATGATTTAACTCTTGTATTAGGCTGTTATGTGTTTTAAGAAACACATTTGACTGTTACTGAAGGAAAATTGCTCATTAGATCTTTTGACATGATGCAACCACATGTTATTATATAAAATGGATTTATATATGTAAATGAATTTATTTCTTGTTATACTTAAATATATGAAACTTCGATATCGTAAATTGTATAGGTTTTTTGATGTTTGGTATAATTTTAGCTACGTCTATAAATTAAATATATTTTTTAATCCTCATGGTATATATGTGTCTAGATGCATTTTTAATCTCCTACACCATGGTTATTACTTCATTATATAAATTAAAATTTTCTCTAGGAGAGAGAGAGAGAGGAGGCTCCTAGTCCAGTAATGAAGTTTTGGGTTTAAGGGAGTTCGGTTTTTCTGAGTTTTATTGGGGTATGGTTTATCTAGTTCATTAGAGATCGTGGCTATGAGAAGAGGAAGTAGATGGCTGAAAAAGGAAGACTGGTAACAAAGAAGTTCTCAAAAACAGAATTTATGTTGGTACTTTGTTGGAGAAACTTTTGACTTCAGTGCTTCCAGCTGTACTCATCAGCTAGTTTCTTTCACGGACAAATACGAATCTCATGTTAAAGTAATTGGCAGATATGAAGGAATAGATGCAGATGAGATCTAAAGGAATTGTGTGGAAGCATAAGTTAGAAGGTGGTAGTAATGTTAACAATGAAAAGAGGAATGATATTATGATCAGTGGGAAGATTATATGGGACCGTCATCAGTGTATAGTAGGGGATGATGGACATCAGAAGATTCATGAATTTAAGTCTTGCGGCAAGGAGTTGGGTTTTAAAATCATGTGCTTTTGATGAGTTAAAGGAGAATTTGGATGTGAAAATTTCTGGGAATAATATTTGTTGGATGATTAATGGAGTCAGGAGTATAGAAGTTTGTTATTATTCTTCGTGTAGTAGTATAGGTAAGGAAGAGATTTTTTTGGGTTAAATATTTGAATAATTTAAAAGAATGGATCCATAAGAGGAGGATTTGTTTCAGATTGTGAAAGTTTAGTGATGGGAGTTCCCTTGGAACTCTGGGCGCCATGGTTCTTTAAAGTTTTGTGGAGAAGTATTTTGGTGATTTTGAGAAAGTTGATGATGGTGATATCAATGAGAGCGGGAAAGAGTTTCTATAAGAATCTGTTGACAGAGTCAAATTCCATTCTGCATCTCGGCGGATAGCAATCTGGGGTAATTGGGCTTTAGGATGGTGCTGGAGATGGTGATTGATGATCTTCTTCTTGCGTAGTGCTTCTTAGAAGCGGAAAAGTTTAAGGTAGATGCAGGATCATGGATGAGGTTAATTTTAAAGCAGTCTTGAGCTAATGTTCCAGAAAATAACTAATGGAGAGCTTGGGTATAGGTGTGTAGACTGTTGAAAGTCCAAGAGGTGTGGGAATTTTCCTAGTTTCGGTTGGAAGACTTTGGGGGCTATGTTGTTGTTCTAATTCTTTTGAAAAGTGCAATTTTCGTTGATGGGTAGAAGTTTTACTCAAGAGTTTATTTGGTTATCTGAGGTTGCTAAACAATTGTTATTGGGTGGGTGTGTTCCAAAATCTTGAAATAAAATTTCTAAATATATTGTGTTATGGAAAGACTAGATTTTTATTTGTAAAAATATATATGCTAATTTTAATTTATTTCTAAGGTATACATATTTCCTTATAAAAAGTGAAAATTCAAAAAAGTCTTTAAATAAATTAAATTTTTTTTTTTTTTTTTTTGAAAAGAGCACTTATATTTATTATTATTCCCAACAAGTTTGAGTCCGTCCGGCTATTGAGGGTTTTCTTTTTAATACTTTTGTGTTCTTGGAGTAGAGTATGTGATTAGTGTCAAAGTTTGTTGGTCCTGATACCCTGGCAGATCTTACAGATTTTGCTTATTATATACGTGCGTACATAATATAGATATACATATGTGTGTGTGTGTGTATCTATATCTTACGTTTACAAAAGAATATATTAAAATCTTGTGTGCATGTGTTTCCAGTATAAATATAGTTTAAATTAGAAAATACCACAAAAAATAATTTAATTTTCTTTAAATATAAGTTACACTTAATATTTTTTGGAATATTACACTATTATTATTATTATTTTAAGTATTTCAGATTTTTATATACGAGTGAATAAGAACCCTACATGATTTCCATATAGAAAAATAGTGCCACCTGTTTCCTGGTTCACTTTACCTAAAGCCAGAATTTTTCCTGTTCCACTTTTTAATTGGATATAAAGAGGTGCAGAATTTTGCCTGTCGAAAATTCATTTTGTCTTCTATGAAATGTGTCGAGAGCTTCTTTCTCATGTTTTTGATGATGTTAATTTCTCTCTTTCATATTCTTTTCACTACTTACACCTTCATAGGCATCTACATTATTTACTAGCTTTTTCCCACACCGACCCAAACCTTTATTTTGTTGGAAGTGCTTTTCCACGGCAGAAATATATATATATATATAAATTCAAGTTTCCTCTTTTTCTTGAATCCATAATTTGAGTTTGAGTTCAATCATCTAAGAAACAAACTATTAATAGGGTGGAGGAAAGAATATTTGTTAGAAACATACCACTTAAGGAGATTCTTGCACTGAGTTGTTTGCCTTTTTCTTTTCTTGACTTCTGTTCAGCTTACTTACACACGTACAACATGCGTTGCCATTGGAGGGACCATGCAATCCATTTCTTCATCACCTAAATCGGCCTTTGGAGCCAAGTTCCATTAATACTTCAGCATGTGAAATGTAAATTTTATAATTATAGAATGAAAGATAAAAATGAACTTGATTTAATTGGATAGTTAATTTATTGTGCATATATACCATGCCTATTGCCGCTCCCTCACCTAAACATTCATTAATTAAATGGAATTTATTTAATTCAACATTGATATAATTAAAGTTAAAGAAACTCGCACCACTGGGGAATAAAATGAAGTGCAAACTTTTTCCCCATCTCTCTCTTTAAAAAAAAAAAATCATTATCTTCTTCTAATTAATATTCAAATACACTGCAACATGTGATTACACATTATAATTATTTCTTTATCTATACTTTTCACAGGGAATGTTTATAAATTTCATCCATTGAAAAATCACACAGAAAAAAAAAAAAAAAAAATTCATATCCTACCTTTTATAAAAAGAAATTATTAATTTGAGAATTCAGATATTTCAAAATTTACAGGAGTGAAAGTATAATTATAAAATTCAGATATTTATAAGATCTCTGAATTCATCTGAAAAGGAAAGCAGCCAAACTCTGTTTAAATTTCTACCATGTAAGCAATTAAAGTTCCCCAACTGTCAAGTTAAAAATTAAATAACTTAAAGTGATATCAGTTTGTATGTAGTTCCTCTACCATGGGTGCTATAAATTCCCAGGCTGACCCGCGTGCACCACTCCTCTCATGTACGTACATATATCATTTATATATATATATATATATATACCCATTACTTACAGCAACCATATATGTTTCTGTTCTGGGGAAATAGAAACTGATACTGGTACCTTCTACTTTGAGGACCCAAAAGAGCCGTATGTCAAACAAGCTGAGACGATGAGACAGTGATTACTAAGAGCTGCAGCAAGACGATCGAGTATTATATACATATATATATATGTGTGTGTGTTATATGTATATGGCGGAACAGTACGTGAAGTGGGCACAAGCTTTAGCATCGGCATGGGGGTTCATGCTACTGGTAGGTCTTATGTGTTGCTGTCTGAGCACCAAAACTGGTCACCGTGGTGATTTAAGCAGCACCAATGGTGGTTGCGGCTGCGATGGTGGCTATGCCGGCGTTTGATCCTCTGCACCCAAATCTTCTTTTATTTTTGCGGATTAGACGTCGATCAAACATACACCGTATAGAAAAAATCCATCCGATTGATTTCATGTAAGTGTTTCAGTTCTTTAGTTTTGTTATCACGCAGTTAAATTACATTATTATAGAATGAATTTCCAGATTAATAACCTCTGCAATTTTTGTAATTTAATACATAATTTATTAATTAGTTGATAAAATAATCCATCGTTTCAATTGAGAATGTCACATGAGTTTCAAGGTGAAAACTTAATGAATATCAATTAATTTCAACAATTTAATAAACCCTATTAATTTTAATTTTGTTGAGACTGTATAAACATTTACTGATCATCGACTAGTTATTCTTCTTCAAATACAGAAACCAAACAAATATACTAATTGAAATATGAATAATCTAATTAAATGGAAGAAAAAGAAACACAAAATTAAGACAATAACATAACATCTTCCACCAGTATGTGAACTTGAGAATTTGGTGTTGCATGAAAAAAAAAAAAATTGGACTTGGAACACAAATTCTGAACCTTCCTCTACTTTTACTGTAACTCTAAAATCTCACCATTTGTTCTGTAACTTAAATGGAAACATTCCCACTTGTTCAATCTCACCTATCTGAATTTATTTTATGCATACCTTCTGAAGGTGGTAACTTCTTTTGCTTTATTGCTTTCAACATGTTCATCCGTCTCGAAAATAGATCTATTCAAATTAATATATTTATAATGTTAATTATATTTATGATTGAGTAGATTACATTTAAGTATTATTTTCAATTATATTTTATTTTAATTAATAATTAGGATCAACTTTTTTTATCAAGTCTATTTATTTATTAAAATATTTCATAAAATACTTAAGAATTAAAAGAAAAAAAAAAAAAACAGAAGGAATGAGGTTGGTGACAATTAAAATAATTTGAAGATGCACAAGTCCCGAATGAGTCATCTTGTTAAAGTGATCGTTATTCAGATAACATAATTTATGGAGGCGAGCAGTCTGAGAAAGATGTTGAGAAGATGCAGGGGTCCCGAATGAGTCATCTTCTTAAAGTGGCTGTCACTTTTGCCGCAGCCAGCATCAGTGCCGGAGCCGGTGCCATGGTCT